AACAAAAAAAAATAAAAATTTAAACCCAGCAGTTATTAGGAAGTATGGCGCAGGTCCTAGTTGAAACGTTGTTAGAGCCCACCCAAAGGTGCCTGGGAAGACAGGCCTGGCAATCCCCTCCCAGAACATCTGCCATTGGAAACCCCACGGAGCACAGTCCTCCCCTGACACCCCTGGGGTCACTGTGAGTCACAATTAACTTGATGGCAGCTGTTGTTTGTTTGTTTGTTTGTTCAGCATTTTCGTGAGTTATGAAATGTTGATGAAAGTGATTTGAAGAGAGCCTTGAGGAAGGGTCCTTTGTGGCTCAAAGAAACTTTTGCTGATTGGATACAGAAAACTCTTCAGAATTTCCTGTTAAGAAAAGACTGTGTATTCAAAGATCAGTTTGTCTTTTTAACAGAGTGAAAACCAAATCCAAACTTTCTACCTGTCTATGCCCCTTACGTAATGTCAGCGAGTGAGCATCCCCAAGCCTTTTCTCTACGCTGTAAATGGGTCCATCAGCACCAGGCAGACATTGGCAAAACTGTAACACGTTTCTATCTCCCTTTCAGATTCATTATTTGCAGGTGTTATAAACCAACCGAAATTAAGTTTCTGTCCCTTAAGCTTTCAATAATTTACTGTACTCTCTCAAATATGCCTTTGTATCTTTGTTCACATACACACAACCAAACATTTTTACTTTCAAGATTAATTTACTTTTTTTCTTCCTTGATAGACAAAAACACACCCCGTTACCATGTACACACATTCGGAATTTTTCCAACTGTGTCTAGTGCGGTGGGCACTGTATACACTAGTATGGTGTGGTGGGCAGAATGCTTGTTGCTCAGTGCTGTCGAGTCGATTTCAACCCATAGACTCCGCACCTCACAGAGCAGAGTTACCCTGTAGGGTTTCCTAGACCGTAATCTGTGCAGGGGCAGCTCACCAGGTCTTTCTCATATGGAACCCGCAGGTGGGTTCAAACCGCCATCCTTTCAATTAGCAGCCAAGGACTTAACCATTACACTACCAGGGCTCCTGTTGGCCCTGAAAAATGTCCCCATCTTCATGCCCACCCTCTGTGAATATTTTCTGTTCCAATGGCAAGAGGAATTGAAGTTACAGAGGTCTTATCTTTTACCTATTTTTAAATGAATATCCAAAGGGAGTGGGGTTGCCTTCTGTCTGCAGGCTGACTTTCGTGGACTCCAGCAGTAAGCCTTCTGATGTGGTTAAGGTTATGTGTCAGCTTGGCTGGGCCTTATTCTGAGTGGCTGGGCAGCTGGATGTAGTTATTTCCCATGATGAGACTGGTAATCAACTCCATGGTAGAATCTGCTGTGAGCAGCTGATTAGCGGCCTTAGGGACGTGGTCTGCTTCCAGTATATAAGATGCTTTGAGAAAGGTCTCTAGATTCTTAGCACATCTGGATCCTCATTTGGCCGAGTCTTCATCTCAGTGGCCTGCCACGTTGTCTTCCGATCTTGGGACTGTTTCTGCACTAGAACTGATTAGTGGCCTGTGTGTTACTTGACAGTCTTGGCACTGTGCCAATTTACTTGTCAGCCTCGGGTTTGTCAGCCTCAGCAGCCAGCAGCTGCCTGAGCTAAACAATGCCCCCAGCTTCAGTGGGCTGGGAGCAAGAGGCAGAGCTGAAGCCCAAGGTCAAGGGGCCTTCACCCAGCCCCTACAGCTGGCACATTGAACTCAGACTTCTAGCCTCCTAAACTGTAAGAGAGTAAATCCCTGTCTGTTAAAGCCACCTATTTGGGGTATTTCTTGAGAGCAGCACTAATGAACCCAAACACCTTCCGTGACATCCCCCCAAAGAAGAGCACTTCCCATCAAGTTGTCTCCGACTCATTGACCCCATGTGTCAGCATGGTGTGCTCCGCAGGGTTTTCAGAAGTAGATCAGCAGACCTTTTTTCCGTGCAGGCTCTGGGCGGACCCTTTACTTAGCAACCAAGTGCATTCACCATCTGCATCACCCAGCGGCTCCATGACGACCCTCTTATAATTTTCTCTTCTCTGAACTTCTGTTCCGAGCACTGCATCCCATGCTTGGTGTTGTTGGATGCCGTTGACGTGATGCTACCTCATGGCAATCCCATGGGATGGAGTAGAACTGCCCTTCAGGTTTTCTTGGCCACAGTCTTTACTGAAGCACGTCGCCAGCTCTTTCTCCTGCAGAGCTGTTGGGGG